CCGTGAAAGCTGTGTTTGAGATTATATCAGATTCCATGAAACTTAGCTCTGATACCATGTTAAACAATCCAAAGAAAATAAAGAAAAAGAAAATGAGGCTAGGGTTTTATTGATTCTGCATAATGCAATTGAATAAGAAAATATAATTTAACATAAATACAAAGAGACTATATATAAGCTAAACAAATGAAATTGAAAAGACTATTCTACCATAATAAATAATAAAACAATATAACTCCTATATTTCTTAACAGAAAACAGGTGTTGAAAATGTAAGGCAATGGGTAAAAATGGAATTCAGCACATATATTACTTTGCGTCTCTCTAACAGATGTCAAAGGGGAACAATTGTTATAAATTTTCTCCTAAATTCAAACAAAGGTGTCCCACATTTGGAAAAATGGGAATGCAAAATGCAAAAATAATAGAGGCCGAACAGACGCTATATGTGCCCTGAAGTTCTGGCAGATATTCTATATGATTTCAAATCCAATTTTTGGTCACTTTTAGAACCTCTCTGCTTTGAGCCAAAAGTGCCAAAGGTCATTTATCCCACATATCATTGCATTTTGCATTGGGGCAAAGTAACCAGTTTGATTATCTTGTGAGATGCTATTGTCTTGTAATCCCCTTGAATGTTGTGGAAGTTGAAGATCATGGAGATAAAACTTTTGTATATATTTGTTTTATTGACCACAATTATTTTGTATTTTCATTTTTTTACCAGGCTGCTGTATATATGAAATGGCTGCTCATCTTCCTGCATTCAAGGCTTTTGTAAGATTTCCTCTAGTTTCTGTCCTATTTTCTGTATATATTTTGTACTACCAATGAAAATAGACTCTTGTTTAATATATTCTGTCCTTTTCTTTGAGATGCTTCCTTTTCAGTCTCTAAGGAACATGTTGCTGGTACAATATTTCATTATTGTTCTTTACCTCGTAATTCTGCAAATCAACTTAAAGTGTTTCTGTGTAATTGATAATGCTTTCTTACGATGGACATTTAGAATCTATGGTTAAGTTGTTCATATCATGCATTTCAGAAAATATGAAATTGAATCTTTTGAGCTAATCACTGCTTCTGGTATGCCTTTCCATTGTTCTACGATTTATTTTCATAATTTAATTCCATCCTCATTATAATTAGGATAATTTCTCTCCTGATTCTTTGTGCATTCGGCTTTTTTCTACCACTTGTTTGCAGGGTTTGAGAAAAATAATCTACAAAGGCTTTATACAGGACTGCTTGTGTATTATGTGCGGCCTTTCTTATTATCAGACTGAATTGTCTTCAGAATTCCAGGTACTTTCTAATTTATCTCTATGTAACCTATTTTTCTGCTTAAAATCTATAGTTAAGGAAAATATATTTAACTAGATGTGGTACAAGACCTAGTGGTCGACATATCCTTTTGTCCTTTTTACAGGTGCTCTCTATGTCCCTCTCCCTCGTTTTACATATATGTAGGTATCATGCTCACGAATATGGTTTTCACCTTTAAATGCAGTGAACTTGGAATGAAAAACCAGTTCATGTTAGATAGTTTGGCTTGTGTACAATATATATTTGAGGGGAAAATAATGCCGTTGGTGTACACCGATGTTTCGCTTGTATTTTATTCAACAAGTAAAATTGACAATTGATTAACAACCATACGTCATTAATGCTATTTGTTACCTTTTCAATTCCAAATGGAAAGTCCAATTTCGTGGAAACAAACACATGATAAGAACTGTCCTGCATCTCGATCCTCTTAGAAGCCTTGAGATCTAATGGTTGCTTTAAATATTTTGATGTCTTTTTCATTCTTCAAAATGCAAATACTGTAAGCTGCAAGACTACTTGCACATTGCCTCCTAATCATGTATAAAACTTGTGTATATCATTAAGATATAGGTCATGTTGTGCATTTTCATACTGGTCCAAATCCTCTTCCTAACTCAATCATCCAGGTTCTTTGCCATATTACAATATCCGTTCATTTGAACCACCTATAGAATTTTATAATTTCAAACACATCACACAGACCATCTTTTGTTGTAATACCTATTATCGAAATATAACAACCAAAACACTAACATTACCTTTAAAATAACAATAATCGTGCATTGCACGGGCAAAACACTAGTAATAAGAAAAATATGATAGCACTCAACAATAGTATTATATAATCAATGATAGTAATAAATGATAACTTAATGATCAATTAAGGTACCATCGGCCATCTTCCTATCATTTCAAACAAAGAAACACAATGAATGAATGGTGAAGGAAGCAACAACCAAGTTGCATTGAAATATGTTATCCTTGACTTTTATCCCTACTAAAATGTCGACACCTCACTTCTTCGTATCAACGAACAGAGAACGTTAATTCAAATGTAATCTCACTTTTTAGTATACTAAGTGATGTCTTCTTGCTAACAAGAGTAAGATATCAACATTTAGTGAAACAAGCCAAATAGAGACACATATCTCAACTCACGATAGACAGTCGCTTATTTCCTCAAATCCACCTGGTAGTTCACTTGTATCATGTAATAAATAATTATAGGACCACATTTTTATATTTTTGGTTTTGCGGAGCATATAAGCATCTATTTTGAGTTACCACCAAATCCTGGCTAGCTAAGGCATAGTTTGATAAGTGAAAAACACCTCCAATAAATTAAAAAACACACGTTGCTGCCATATAATAAGATACAAGATTTTGCAACCTCTGTGTCTATGTTGTGCCCTCTGCCAGCAAAAAATTACAGGGCACCCAAGTTTCCTTCAATTTTAAAGAAATGTACAAGAACGAACCAAACCTTGTGTTTCTCAATAATGTGACATCAATGGCCTAATAGCGAAAAGATTAAATAACCTCCAGTTTGCGGAGACAACTCTGTACCATTCTTTGGTTCTACTAGTTTTGGTGCCAGTATATAACTACAGGTGAAGAGACGGTCGACCATGAAACCACAAAAAATAAATCAATTAATCATTATAACGATAGACATTCTACTCTGTCCGGAACACTTCTAGGCATTGGAACTGCAGTAACATATCTCTGAGGGAAAGTTTTCTGAGTATCTGCCATGACATAGCTCATCAATACAGTGTCTGTATTATCAGTTTGTCCCCGACCATGGAACTTAGCAAATCTATTAATGACAGAAAACTTCTCCAGATCTTGACCTTCGACTTTCAGGTCCAGTATTGATGAACTATTATCCAGTCTGTAACATGATAAAACAGCATTTAAAACATCAAAGAATACACAAATATGTGCACAGGTATGATGCTTCCAAAGATACACTAGCAAATTTAAGAATAGTATAATATACATCATATTCTGCTATCTTCGAAATAACTGCAAACCAGAAAATGAGTCTTTTCAGCATTATGAGAACAGGTAGAAGAATATAGTATACTGCATCTTTTCTTTAAGGTTGTGTTTGCTAACTGATTCACTGGTATGGAGTCGCCATTGTTGAATATCCATGTTTCTTAGCATGCCTCTTGGACTCACTTTATTTCCACAAGCTAATACGGCGTGTTTGACATGCAGAATTAAAAAAAAATATGATGCACCAAAGTTTTTGTATCAAATACTCTAATCCAAATAAAAGATCAATCCAGACATGGAAATAACAAATCCAGATTCCACTGACCATTCTGTAGTCATTTCCAATTCAGTTCCCAACATTTTGTTTCCACTAAAATCAGTTCCTGATAACCAAAGACTGTCCAGTAATAGTTTGAAGTTCTAGAAGACAATATAAGTATAATCCTCATTCCTCAAAGTATGACTGGTTTCTGTTTCTCAGGTCGACATGCACATCCCCGTGTCAATTACATACTCTATGAAAATTCCCTTAAGCTACTTTATATACTAGATGGGGCGGTCTTATTCTACAGACATCTATTTCCAGTTTCTTTGAAAGAAATAAGGTGATGACCCTGAGACTCTAGCCAAATAAATAAATAAATATGTGGGATGGCCATCTGTGAAGAATTCTCCATGTTAATGCAGAAGGTACGACTATATTAAGCTTTAAACTATAGACTCGATAGGCATACATATTCATTTGTCTCAAAACATGTTCTGAACATTAAACCAGAGATAAATATTAGAAAAACTTCATCTGAGATACCTTACTATAGTTGTTTTATGATTTATTAAATTGAACTTTTCCAAGTCACTCCAAATGTTTATATTGAATATTATTCAAACTGATACATGTAGAGTGCTTGAATGAGAAATTTGCAATTTATGACATCTAGAATAAGCTTAGTACAGAAGCATGCAGTTCCATAATGTTAAACAGGACTCATTTTCACTAACCCTACACCTAAGTACTGAAGGTTGACCACAATATCCGGTTATTTACCTCTAAATATTACACATTTAATGATTCTTTCCTACTGACATGGATTAACTCAACAAAGCCTTATCCTGTACTTATCTAGTGTTGGTACATGGATCCTCATTTTTCACCATATCAAGGGCTCCTACTTCCATGGCTCATTAGCAAAACTAAGATATATCTGAACAATTTAAGATATGGACAAAATCACAGTTATTAAGCCCCAACATTGTTGGAACAAAAGATCGAGACAGATGAAAAGATGTACCTCAAGAATTCATTTTCTAGCTTCCTCGTTCTATCCATCAATTTTTCAATAACTTCTGCAAAATGCTTGTCTCCATTCCTGCTTGATGGTGTGCCGTCAGCAGCAAGCCTACAACATAATTTACAAATTGAGCTTGTCACTCAGAACTGAAAAAAATTCCTACACAAGTAACACAACTACGACAAATTCCAAAAGATCAAATTTTTGACATGATAAATAAGTTTCAGAAAATATTTGAGTAGCTCTTACAAGTTTATTCCATTACAATCCATATCTGAACTACTTGAGCAAGAAACTGCACTGCGTGCATCGCATAGTGCCATCCTAGAGACGAAGTAAGCCACGCTTCTATAATTTGAACTGGCATCAGCAGAGAATATTGCAGCGGATGGAGGGCGAAACAGTTGTTGCATAAGCTGTGTTGTCAAGATCAGCCTTCTTTTTGATATATGCATTGGTGGTCCATCTTCAATGAATTCAATATCATCTTCAACCTAACACCAGAAAAGAAGACAACGAATATAGCGAACCCTGAAAATGAAGTTCAGGAACAAGGAAGAGCACAGCTAGCAACCCCATTATACCTTTTCAATTAGACGATTTGCTGCTTTTGCCCATTCTACTTCTGCTAAACTGCAAGCAGTAAAATTCATGACAATAGAAACAAAATGTTACAGTGAGTTAGAGAGAGAACTTGAACACCAAAATAATCACATTCATAATAAGAAGAGACAATAACAGAAAAATGTTTAATGAGGATAAAACAGAAAAACTGATAGCTATCGTAACCACCTGTGAATCTGAAGATTTTGTGTGTGAAGTTCAGAAGTAGCACTCTTCTGCTTCTTGTGCCCAGTTGCTACTGTGGGTGCGGAATTTTGGATGCCATCAACTCTACCTGTATCAACAGTGGCATCAGTCCCGTGCTCCACCAGACTAGGTGCATGAAAATTACTGGAAGACTTCCAAAGAGTAGGTGGTGGTTCTGCAGTTTTTAAAGGGGTGACTTTGTGTGGCATTAGCCCATTTTTAAAAGTTCCATACTGATTGAACCAGGATGGAGCCATCGGAGGACTAATATGATGTTGCTCAACACTGACAGAAGCTGTAGTATCACTAAGATAGTTGCTCTGTGAAACATCTTGACCAAAACCAATTTTTGTAGCTGTATCTACATGTTGAGAAGATAATTTACTTTCCAATAAGTCAGCTGGCTCTCCAGAGGAAAATGCAATATTAGAACCTAATGAATCTCCAATATGAGCATTGTGTTCATTTGACTGCTCTGTGTTCAAAGCTACTTGATGAACACTCGGACCATTATCTGGTCCTTTCATTCTTTTGGAGACCCTATTGTTTGAATCAGTCTCTGCATCCTTCATGGCTTGCTTTTTATTTAGTAAGGAGAAATTTTGGTGAGAGAAGCTATTTGGTTTCAAAGATTGACCAAAGGCTTCAATATCCTTTTGTTTTGAAGCAGATTTTGCATGAGAATCATCAGAAGGATTCTTGATGGAGGCTGATTTGCCTAGTTGCTGACCTGAACTTCCCTTCAACCTTTCCTCTTCCCCACTGATACCTTGAGTGTTCGTAGGAATTGCACCAAACTCAGATGGGAAATTCCTTTCTTTTCTCACGTCATGATCACCTCGAGCCAGGGGAATGGAGGAGCTTGATTCCACAATATTTGGCAGGGAAGACTCTGTAAAATTTGATGACACATTGTGATATGGAGCAATGTAAGTATTTTTGAGTGTAGGAACTTTGGCCCACATATTACGCCCAATTTGTGAAGAAGCACCATGTTGCAAAATGCCAGGCCTAGAAAAAGGCTGAGAAGCAGGCACATGATCCTTGGCTGACATTGTTAAAGATGACGCTCTTTCTTGTGGATCATTAGTTCCAGTTCGTTGCGATGTATCATCCAATGAAGCCGGATTATCATGTGAAGTACCGCCAGATACATCAGGTGAAAAGGCCTCTGCAGATCCTTTTTGACTGGAGAGGGAAGCATTCTTATTGAAAGACAAATCAATATTTTGAGATCTATGTCCACATGTCCTAGTTATATGTTGATTTTGAAGATGACTTGAATAGGGAAAACTGGAATTGAGTGCAAAAGAAAAATTTGAAGGAGATTCAGATTTGATATCTCCAAATTTAACCTGGGAATGTTCATTAGAAAAAGGAAATGATTGAACTGAGGGTGTAGGAGCCATCAGCTGGTCCTTCTCTCCAATTTCTCCAGCGGCATGACTAGAATGCAAGGAGTTAAAAGTATGTTGAGCATTCTGAGAAGACAATAAACGGTCAGGTATCTGCATGCATTGAGATGGAAGACCGAGTTGTAATCCAAATCCTTGAGAGGCAGAAGACTTCGTATTTTGAAGGCGACCAACTATCCCATCCCAGTTTTCTGCTTCAGGCAGTTGGGATGGTTCATTGCATTTTGAAGAATCAAACTGTGTCACAATACCTTCCCTCGATTGATCCACCTTGTGAAGAAGATCCAGCATTGTTTGACTGGATAGAACAAATACAGTTCAAGAACAGAGAATACTGCAAAAATTCAATGAACGTATATGAATAATGAACTACCTTGATGGAGAAGCCTTGTTTGATGTGTGTGTATCAACAGATCTGCCATGGCCAGGCTGGTTCTCAATGGATGGCCCCTCATCAGGGCTTTTACTGTCTATTTGAAGATCAGAAGACTGCCCCTGCAATTAAAGAAATATGAAGAATTTTGGACTTATCAGTGATAGTGTGTGTATACATATATGTTACTTAATGTCACAACTTACCTTTTCCATTACTACAGAATTCTTTTGAACCTGACCCAGAAACTTTGACTGCTCCAACTCGTTAGTCTGTGAGGTCATTCGCTGTACATGGGTAGGTTGCTTGAAACCGTAGGAAGGTTCAACATCCACATCCAGGTTTCCAATGGGATGATACTGGAACTTGTGAGGACTGGAAACTTTTCGGCCATGCTCATTAATTGACTTTTGCTTCTCTGTGGCCAGAGATCGAGAATCACTAGCACCTGACATCCTATGTCCCGTGAAACCAGCAGAAGTGTACAGAGATAAGTTTGACTGATGGCTGTCATTTGAATTCTCCTTCAGATCATAATTCTTCATCTCATGTCTTTCAACTGCGTCCTTATTGCCTTTGTTAACCTGGTGCAGCATTCTTCCCAAGCCATCATTACCCTGGGATTTAACCACAGAGTTGGCATTCTTCCATTGATAACCTAAATAATTATTTTGAAAAAATGGACTGGTTTTTTCATCAACGGTCGAACTAGGAGTAGGATTTAACTTCCATGAAGAATGTCTGTGACCTACTTCTCCTTGTATTGGCCTTATTGAATTGCTTTGAGAATTTAGTGTCAACTTTCCGATCTCACGGTCATTTACCACCTGATCTCCAACGTAGGAGACAACTGCCGATGCATTCCAACTGTTTGGTTGTTGTCCAGATCCGCTGTGCTCATGGGCCGAAGGAGTAGAAATGCTCTTTGTATTTCTCTCTATATCAAGAGAAGGTTGTGAGGCATTCCTATTCCTCTGACTCCCTTCAGCAACTCTTTGTAATGAACTGTTATCCAACCACTTGCCTTCTTCCTCCAAAAACACCAGCCTTTGAGACATCTTAGACTGCAGTCTTTGACCAGGTTCACCTTGAAACTTGGGTCCAAATTGATTGAATCCCATAAAATTCAGATGGTGATTGTTAGTCTTGGTGCCATCACAAGGAGCAGCAGATCCAAAACCCATTGTAGAAGGCTGTCGCACATTGTCACCAGCCAAAGATGCCTCTTGTTTCCCACGGTTATTGTATAAAGAAGGGTGCTTGTTTGCTGAAGGGACTTCAGCATTGTTATAAATTGGATCACTCCACTCATCCTGCAAACCTATATCACTGCTACAAGTTTCTGCAGCAGCTGATTGCATAAGGGCACTCCAACTACCACTTTGAAGAGAAGGAACTCCATTCAATAACCCACCATTATAAAATAAATTACTGGTTTCGTCACTCATTTTATTGCTCTTGCCAAAGGCAGCCCATACATTATCGTCTGAACCAAACAAAATCTTTTGTTCCATGGGATCCAGGGAACCTTCATTCTGAGGAGAAGCAATTTGCTTTGTTGATTTTTCAGTCAAGGATTCCTGCGGAACAGAGAGCTCTTGCCTTCCCCAGAAGTCCTGCTGAAATGTGTTTCTTTGCATGGGATTCTCTTGTTGGAGGCTCTCCATATTCATCCCAGTATTTAGAGCTTGACTAGGTCCAAACATATTTTCATTCTGAAATCTCAGTCCAGATATCAATGTCCTATCCTGTACACTATCCTGATCTTGCAAACCAGTATATTGGCCTGGAAAAGAACTACTATTGGTTGACATTTGCAGCATTGGAGATCCATCTGTTCCCACCTGTGAAAATTGGTTTACAGCTAGACCCCTTGAACTAGAAACAGGAACTCCATGAAGAGATTGATCAACCTGTTGAGGCACAAAATCCACTAAGCATTGCGTCTGGCTAAGATTTGGAGTAAAAGGAAGTCCACTGGAGGCATGGTGCAGCCAGTTTGTATTACCATGGTCAACCATCCATGCATAATGTGAGGGGTCAGAATTTGGATTGCCATTGTTCAGAGATGACTGGTTACCAGATGCCTGTTTAGCAATGATGGAATTCTGATTAAACAAATTCTGTTGCCTTAGATCTAGTTGCTGCTGTCTTTGAAGATCTTGCATTTTCTTGATAAAGGCTTGCTGTTGCACTTTCTGCATGTCATTGAGCCCAGATTGTCGATGCTGCAAAGATTGCAGCATGCTTGATTGCTGAAAACTCATCTGCTGCTGACCACCAAAAAGATCAAAACTAAAGGAAGATATTGCTTCTGAGCTAAATGAAGATTTTGCTTGATGTTCAAGGCTACTACCTTTCTGGAATTCATGGATAGATAAGCCTCTCGTGGTAATTAGATGATGCTGATCAGAATCTGTTGCAAGAGAGTTAGCTTCACTAAGCCTCGTCTGGTGAACCTGATCTCCACACATATAGCCATTCAAATTTGGCAGTTCGCTTTGGTATTGACTGTTAGAAAAACTAGGCCTCACAGTAGCTTGATCAAAATTCGAGCCATGTGAAGCATGAAGGGCATAACTGCCCTGTCCTAAAACTCTATCTGCCCAAGGAAACATAAGGTAACATAATAGAAAAGTAGTTACACAACGATCAAATTAGGGGACTTGATGACAGGTGAAAAAGAAATTACGTAAATGCTTTTCTTTCACTGAGATGAAAGTAAATAGAAACAAAACAATCTACATGAATATAACATAATATTTGAACTTGTCTCTCAAACAGCCGGTTACCTGAGATTTGTGAACCATAATTTTTTGAATCAGAATTTGCCAAATCAATTTTTCTCTGGCTGCCAGCCCAGAAATTGTTTAGCACAGGCCAATTCCCTTCTACAATTTGTGAATGTTACTGTTCCTGTGACAAGTTGTCTTGCGCAAAGAAATTGTGTACCGTCTCCAAGTTCATCGCCAGGCATAGACGGTTGGCACCCAAAATTTTAGCTGTTACGCGTTGGTACACTTAAAATCGACAAATATAGACATTGACTTCCTAAATTTGAAATTCTTGCTCACTGGTACATGCATACAACATCACAACCATGTTATTTTTGAAAAGCAAATAGAACTTATGAAAACATCATAATTCTCCAGAAATTAAGCGTCAATCCAGCACCATCTTCTTAGCCCCAAGACCTTCCCCTGAATAAGAACAGCCAAGCAAAGTTAATAAAAACTAAACATGTTGAATAAAGCTAAAATAAACATTAACACTGTAATGAGTATAATGACTAATGGTTAAATAACAAAAAAGATGCTATGCTATCAATCGTTTTAAACGAGAAGTCAACATTGTCCCGCTGTAGTGTCCCCAAATCTAGGGTTAGACAACTGCAAGCACTACTTTCCAAGTGCCATATTTTGACGCAAGAATCTGCATAGATACACAACATAAATACATGCATGTGCACAAGGAAAGCGCATCTTGTCTGCATCTTTTAGTTAGTGAATGTATAGGAGGCAGAACCTACGCATATTTGAAGGGGATAAAAAACTGCACGCTGAAGCTATAAAACTAACTTTGTTGCTTTCATCTCCTATTAAAAAAATTGATCTTAGTGGAGGCTCGAAATAAAAATTAAAAATTAAAAATAAAAATAAAAACAAATAAACAAAATTGGAAGTTTTTATGTGTTCGAATCTAAAAGAGAGTTGAGTGGTGAGGGGACTAGTTCCCCAAGAAATACTGAACACTTAAAATTCCAAGTTTCCACTTTTGCATATTTACTATCAATTATTTATTCGAATTCAGGTTTTTACTCATTTACACAGCAATTCTATTTTCAACATATCTTAATTTGAACAAAAAACTGCTAACATAACAAATTTCACAATATTGACTTAATGTTTGAATTGTCTAAGGAACCAACTGACATAAAAATTGTTGATCGGCATTCACTTTGTTCATTTTTTAATGTAAAATCATTAATAAATTGTTGGTAAAATGCATATACTGAACAAAACAGATCTATACATGGCTAAGTATCAGAGAGGCATTTGTTTTTGATTTGTTTCAATATACAAGGTACTTAAAGGAGTTCTAACAAGTTAACAAATAAAATTTTCTGTTTAAAAATTTGTACTTAGCTTTTTTTTCTTTTGGTCCTAGAGAGTATGTGAACAGGGTTACAGTGTTAAATTAATTAAAAATGAATAAGTAACTTATCAAGTAATTGGCACAAAACGACATTATCGTTTGCCTATTTTGCATAAATCATCCATATCATTTCAATTTGAGCATTTGAGCCCTCGGATCCATCAAACATTGCGTGAATTGTCTTTTCCGTCCATTTCCTCCATTAAAACCTCGTAAAATGACGAATTTACCATTTTCTTTATTTAAACAAAAAGAAAAGAAAGAAAGAAAGAAAAGATAAAATAAACCCAAAACTTTACAAAAGTGCAAACTAATCCCACATAAAACAATTTAAAAAAGGAAAGAAAAAAAAAACTCTTTTCTTTTCCAACCAACCGTTGCCCAACCCCCTTTCACTATCACCACCCTCCCCTCCCCCTTTACCACCGACCACCGCAACCTCCAAAGAGGATACTAGGACATTGGAGAATAGGGTGGGAAGAATCTTGACAAAGTAAAGTTAAAAAGATGCGTGATTCCCTCTACATAGAGTTTCCTATATACTATATCTGACTCCTCGTCTCCATAGTTGTTTCTTCATTCTCTCAACAATGACCACCACCTTGTTATGGCAGAGGAAAATTAATTGCTCTTGTCACGAATAAATCTCCCAATCGCCAGTATATCAAAATTATCGTGTGCCAAAACGGACATTTCCATCTTCGATAATATGATGTTATTAACCCATGGCGGCGCTTTTGGCTTGGGCAGCTCCAAATGGGGTTGGTGGATCATTTATTGTACGGCCGTTTGCTCTTCTTGAACAGCCATTGACTTCATTTTCCTCTTCTCCATTAGAATCTGCATTTCCATATCTTATTGAATCTGTTTTTCCATTTTCAACATGATTCCCCTCATTCTCGAGGGAATTAATTTCTCCCATTTCTTCTTCAATTGCATGGGGTTGTCCCGTGTTTCCAATTTCTCCTCCACATCATAATAATTCCATTTCTGAATGAATAAATGAAACGAAACTGAAAAAGAGAGAAAGGAGAAGAGGAATCATGGGTGGTTATATTGAAGAAACCTTAGAGGTTTCATTTTTCTGTCCTTCCATGTAAAGGGAACCGGCCTCATCATTCCCTCCATGCCTTTAGGATTCTTCCTATTCTAATTTCTAGTGTGTTAGCTGCCTCTGGTGGTGGTGGTCTACGGAAAGTGGTTGTGTCAAAGGCGTGCAAGAGGGAAGGGAGTGAAGGGGAGGTGGTCGAAGGGGGATTCGGCAAGGGTATGTGGAGTTGGTTGGAAAAGAAAGATATTTTTTATTTTTATATTCCTTTCTTTTTTAAATTGTTTTAAGTGGTACTGCTTTACACTTTTTTGAAAAGATTTGGACTCTGGCGGTAATTATTTCTCTATTTTTTTCTTTTATTTCTTTTTGTTTATTTAAAGAGGAGAGTAAATTTATCATTTACAAGGCTTTAATGGAGGAAATAGATGGTAGGGACAACATGCGCAAAATTTGATGGATCTTAGTGCCTAAATGCCAAAATTGAAACAGTAGGGACGATTTGCGCAAAATAGGTAAACAATGGGGCATTTTTGCTTAAATCCCTACTTACAAATCCCCTACTAATTTTTGTAATGGCTTGGTTAGAGAGGCTATGATCACAGTCATAGTACCATATTATTTCAAAACCTTCGAAGTAGCCATATCTACATTATGTGTCATGTTCCCTTACACTCTTATTTTAGGAGCCCAATGTAGAATTAAAGCAAAATATGGATATACAAGCCTTATGGACTAAACCTCCCTAGAACTAATTTTTTTGAAGTTTCAAATAACGTAATCAGCACTACCAATACCGAAATATTTAACACATTAGTAAAGTAAATGTTCGGAAGAATTTTTTATTGAAAAATCTAGTTGTTAGAAGCCTAGAGCAGAGAAAAAAGGTACAAATATATGAAACTGAGAGATACTAAGCCAATCGTAAAGCTTGAGTTTTTAGGTATGCTTACAGCTACTAAACATGATTCAGACCAAAGTTTGTTTGTCTTTCATTATAATCTCCTTATAATTTAAATATCAAAATCATACTTTGATTTTAACCACACATTTCATAGGACCAACAATTACACTTATCCGCCACCTCACATTATAGTTTTAGCAACTTATAATCAATCTGAAACAAGCTCTAAGAAGACAACAGACACATGCACATGATGCAACTAAGAATTTGAGGTTAAGTTTGTACTAGAATGAACTTTTCCCCTTAAAAACTCAAGAGTCCGTATGATGAGCCTAGTAAAATAAGGTCATACTAAAATTGATAAGATAAAAATGAGAATATATGTCACTAAAGTGACACTAATTGAGAATAAATTAACGAACGATGGCTTTGGTAGTTGCAACATATCTTGTATATACCTAAATAAAATTGTTGTTTGTGTTCTAATACTTCAAACAACGTACTACTAAGAGTAATTGCTCTCGATATCAGAAACTATAATATAGAGCATTACCTATGACACCTACCCATGGTTCCATCAAAGTAAAATGAGTCCAACGATCGGAAGACATATTCTTATTTCACAAATCATCGAAAATGTCAATTCACCAAATAGTATTTGCAATTAACTACATTAAACGCTTAGGGGTTGCTGACAAAGCTTATATTAAAAAGTATTGACAAATTTTGATAAAAGTTAATAAAATGTGTGGTTGAAAAGTTGATAAAAGTTGTGAATCTCATAAAATATGCGGTTAAAATTAATTGTTAACTTTAACCTCAACATTTTAAGTTATCCCAAACAAGCACTTAATACCTTAACCGTTGACTATGGGGCATACCATTTTGTTTGCTAATATGAAGTTTCATGCATTTCGTAACCCCTTCCCCCCAATTTCCTATAAGATGATAACACAATATGTTTTAAGTCTATCATTTACCACTTAACAAGATTGCAATCCTTATGTTCCACCAAGATGTTGCAACTTTCACAAACTTCCTTATTAACAGACCAAGTTAAAATCAATTATTCAAAGAAAAAGAAATTCAGGAAGGCAAGAATATTAATCTGAGGAGAAAGCCCAGAATGTGCCACAAAGCCCTTACGTTCCTAACCAATTGACGCCATTTAGAACAGTTATATGCTTATAGACTCACATCCCTTATTGATGTTACACACAAAACATATCATATACATATATACATAAAATATTCATTCGCACACCAAAATTGATATAAATAAATAGATAATCCTAAAAAAAAATGATCACTTAATTCACAAATCATAGATGGACTCTACAATTCAAATTCGAACACTAAAACAAGCTGAAAATATCAAAACACGCCTCGTAGATACCTCGAATCCCGAACCCTAACCTAACTTATAGAATCTGTACATACATAAATACAGCACGAGCTCTAACGCACATATTATACAAAGAAAAGCTCGGGCGAGCACAGAGTAGGGTCTGCAATAAGGAGAAAAAAAAAAAAAAAGACTTACCTGGGTATCGAGATGCGAATAAATAAAGAAAATTGCGCTGAATTGAACTCCTAGGGGTTTGAATCGGCAAAAGGAGGAGCTTTTTCCAGATAGAGAAAGTAGTGAGAGCGAGAATGGGGGAAGAAAATGAGGTTTTTTTTTTTTAGCTGCGAAAAAGATGAAAAAGTGAGGGAGATTTTCAACGAACTGTGGGAGTGGGAGTGGGAGCGTAGATTTGGTTCGGGTGCAGATATCAGGCTCGGAACTCCCGAACCGGCATCGGCTACGTTTGATTGGTGAGTGAGATTGCGACATTTTCTGGTAAGCCTTGTTTGAATTATATTAAAATTTCATTTTCATTCTTCTACTCATTTTGAATCACGTATTTTTCAATAAAATAATATTTTTCATCACATCAATAATTTTTCTTTTTTTTTTCAACCACACATTCTCCATCAATCTATTATTCTAAAATATATTCTTCCAAAATAATGTGACTCAAACACACCCTAAAACATATTTTTATCGAAACCATTGAACTTTTGAAGAAATTTTAATTGGTCCATTGAACTTTAATTTGTCTCATTTAGATTACTGAATTTCAATTTATTTTCATATTTTATCACCTTGTCTCCTATCGTTTTCCAAAACAATGAAAATTGCTCAGTTGATAGCCATATCATTTATGATCTTCTACATAATCGTGACAGCCTAAAAAGAAAAATGGGAGGGGTATTAAAAATGTCATTAAAGTAAATAAATAATAATTTTTTATTATTATTATTTTAACAATTTTATGTTGCATTATAGTTACATGTCATACGGCAATTATGTGAAAGAGTTGTTTCAATATGATTGTCAATTAAATATTTTTATCAGTTTGAAATACGAAGTGTTTATAATTTGAAACTAATATTGGAACTAAGTGACCCAATTGAAACTATATTAAAGTATACTTATCTAATTCAGATAAATAAAATTTAGTGACCTAATTGTAATGTTTCTGAAAGTTAAGTGACCGCAGATTTAATTCACCCTTTCAAAACTTAAAAGAGATTCCACAAATTATAGCGGGAAGAGTTTAACAGATAATTAAAGACTTTCACTTAAAAAATTCCTGCCAAACAAACGTGAAAATAAACATAAATATTTGAGAGATTAAAGAATTTTGATTTTAAAATGTTGTGTGTCAGTTGTATTATTAAATTAATAGGTGAATATTTATGTGTACAAATTTACATATCAGGCAAAATTTTGCATTATAGTTATAAAAAAAACATCATTTACTGTAAAAACACATAATAATTTTTAATTACTATCTTCTATTAGTAATTTTTGTTCAATGAATAAATAGGCTTCGCTATAACAAGCACGGAGTCGGGCGACTCCATTCCCGCCTAGGCATGGAGGCCAACTTCGGAAAATTGAATAGACTTTGCAATTTTTGCCTATTTGGCACCTAGACACTATGTACATTCTACTTCGAAAATCGAACTTCAAACATATATAACATTTGATCTTCAACTCTGAGTTGTGATCTCTTTTTTTACTGTCTTGATACTTGAATATTGCATGTGTTGGTTCTTCAAATGTAAAAATCACTTTCTTTCTCTTCAATCGGCATCAGATCGAAGATTTAGCATACAAAATTCAAATACATCACAAAGTGAGTAAAAAAATTGCACAATTAATCAAATATTAAGTAGATTTACGAGCATAAAAAGACACGCTTATCAGCATCCTCCAATTAATATTTTTGTTCATCCTAAGTAAAACTGCTCTAACCACAAGCAAAATAAAAAAGACTCACTTTGTTCCGTAGCTCACTGAAAAGATTTTTCATTCAAAGTTGAGCAATTTATTCCAAACAACACCAACAAAACTAAGTTAACACATAAAAAATCACCTAGGTCTTCCCTTAATTTCATGAAAGAATAAATACTAAAGTTGATTCCATCATGAACCTCAATGTTCAAATTTTATCATTTTCCTTTAGTGAGATGAGATGCACACTCTTCCCAAACTTGATGGTCAGTTTCTCTCCATGGGTGTTATTTTTATGGGTTACTCTCAATACACTATTTATTTTCTTGTTCAAGCTTGATTGGACCAAATCAATAAAAGAACTAACCATACACAAGAGCATCCTCCATATTTTTAGTGTCCTGACCTTCAAATTTAACGAAGTCAAGCCTACTAGTTATCTAGACATATCCCAAAATTTAGTGTACAAGGTTTGGTCAAGCTTGCAGTAAGTTTTCTACTTCATGCACATACTTTTATCCTTATTTCGAACTTTCATTTTTTATTTTATCACGGTACTTATATTGTGTTAGCATTGGGATATTTTATAGGATAGCTTTGCAATATGACATTTTTTTTTTATCTTTTTGTCTCGAATAGAGGCTAGAGCAATGCCTTTTTGGAAAAATCGCTAACACGTGATTAATACCAAGATTTCACGTGTAAGCCAAAATCACTTCATATGTGGAATCAACACATATTCAACTAATCACTTCTATCAATTCAATCACCCCAAACTATTCTCTCATACATATTTCATCATTGGTTTAGGATTATTTATAATCAGTTCTATCAACTAAAAAACCCATCCCATTATAAAATAATTTTCAAACCTAAATAACAATTGTTGTGAAACGAAGATGATGCTGGATTAATCCAATACCAATTTTTTGGGAAAAATAAGATATTATAGCCACAATTTAAAGTAATTGATCATAAAACCAAAATAATTTACAGAGAATAGAGATTTTATTATAATATAGAGAAACAATATAAAGATTTTGTGTTTATAATTTGTCTAACTTCTTCTAAATAATAATCAAGAACCAACTATATATAGGGAACAAATAGATGACGTTCAAACTCTAATAGTTGAGTTGTAGTTAAAAGTAAAATGCAAAAATGGAATCCAAAACGGAATAGAGAACAAAATTCGTGCAGAGCAAAACAGCCAAGTAGCGCCTTAGCAGCTCCGGGCCGAAATCTTCCCGGCACCGCGGCTCCCTTTACTTCAAAAAAACTTGATTTTCTTCATCTAATGTTCTCTTTAAATTCAACACAAATTTTAACACCCAATTGGGCTTCTAAGTAAAACTTCAACTAGAATTTGCCAAGTAAACTTGAATGGGACTCCAGAATAGCATTCCAAATAGAATCATTCTTAATTTGTGCTTTAAATAAAACTCTCAATTATCTTCAAAAAAGAATTCGGGTTACACTCAAATTCTAACAATCTCCACTTTTGCAGAAATTTCATTGCAATGAACAAAACTTTAAAAATTTCTCCATCTAGAAACAAATTTCAGTGTAAGGTTCTTCAATAAAAAACACAAATGAACTTCTCCATAAAAAATTTAAAACTGAAAATATTCTCCGCATCTGCTACCGAAATTAGGGGCAAAAGTGTTCTAATAACCACGAAATAAGGCTGAAACAAACCCTAAAACATATTTGAGATATGGTCTTTCGGTCCCTCCTTTGTTTCTCTTTCAGAGTCCAAGTTGTGAGCATTTTGTTAAATTCCAACAACGCGTCGTTAAATCCATCTGAACGAGTACTCTTCGCATCTTTATCTGCCATAATGATTAATTTTGTAATGTGGCCTAATAGCGGAATAACATATTTTATTGTTGTCATCACGAAAGATCAAGTCGAGCTATTAACTTAATCAAAATCTCGATCTTCCCAAGAATTTCAAAATCAAAAGCTCTGATATTAGTTTGTTGTGAAACAGAGATGATATCAGATTAATCCAATACTAAATTGTTGGAGAAAATAAGATATTATAACCACAATATGAATTAATTGATCACAAGAACAAATAATTTACAGAAAATAGAGATTTTATTATAGTATGGATAAATAATACAAAGATTTTGTATTTATAATTTGTCTAACTTCTTCTAAATAATAATGAAGAGCCAACTATATATAGAAAACAAATAGAAAGACGTCCAAATCCTAATAATAGAGTTGCAATTGAAGTAAAATGAAAAAACGGAGTCTAAAACGGAATAGAGAACAAAAAATTGTGGAGAGCAAAATAGCTAGGTGGCGCCCCAAGCACAGGGCCGAAATCTTATTGCCACCGTTGCGGCACCCACTCTTGCGTCATTTACTTCTAAAAATTTGATTTTCTTCATTCCAATATTTTTTTTTTCAAATCTAATACAAACTCTAACTCCCAATTGGACTTCCTAAAACTTTAAATAGAATTAGTCATATAAACTTTAGGATTCCCCATTAGTATTCCAAATAAAATTCTTCTTAATGGACACTTTAATTAGAACTCTTAATTATCTTGAAAAAAGAATTCAGGTTACACCAAAATTTTAATAACAATCAAAACTGGCTATGTGCTCAATAATATGACTTTATATGGATAAGCAATTTGCATATAAACAAGCATTATCATTGGATCACATATGATAATTATCAACTTCATTTCAAATATATAATCATCATTAATCGGTAAGCTATCCAACTATGTAACACACAAGCACATATTTAAATATTTCAGTTTTTTTGAGAAATTTTTTTAATATTTTATGGATATTTTAATATAATATATGCATTAAAATAAGCAAACAGTTGACATTCCTTTAAAAGTTCAAAAAGTGCAGAAATTTCCTTAAGATTTACTGAAATTGATTAATGTGCTTGTAACGGAGGCAGATCCAGCACCTGACGAGTGGGCACGACTGCGCATGCTGGATCCGCAGAAATTTACAATTGCCATCGGTGGTTGCAGTGAAGAATTTGAAGGGCAGACACAAGGACTTTAGCTGGAAAAATAATGGTTGTGAATTGAGCCTTTTTTAATTTAATTGTGGGCCTTTTCTTTTGGGCTCTCTTTTTTTAAAAAAATAAAAAATAAAATTGGCCAAATAGTTTGTATCAAAGAACAAACGCAATTTGTAAACCAACAAACCCTATCTCACTCCCTCCATTTCTAATCATATTTTGCACTCAAAAATAATACAAGAAGCGATGGCAAGTTCAAGAAGATATGTGNAGGATTCCCCATTAGTATTCCAAATAAAATTCTTCTTAATGGACACTTTAATTAGAACTCTTAATTATCTTGAAAAAAGAATTCAGGTTACACCAAAATTTTAATAACAATCAAAACTGGCTATGTGCTCAATAATATGACTTTATATGGATAAGCAATTTGCATATAAACAAGCATTATCATTGGATCACATATGATAATTATCAACTTCATTTCAAATATATAATCATCATTAATCGGTAAGCTATCCAACTATGTAACACACAAGCACATATTT